CTGGCCGGAGGGCGGGGGCGGGGGCGGGGGGGGGGAGGGGGGGGAGGGAGAAGGAGGAGCGCGAGTAAAGGCGGGGATGACTCCCAGGGATGGGTGTGTGTTTGGCCGTGTCGGCTGGGGCCCCTGAGACGAGCGGAGGTGCCCGACAAATAGATCGCCCCATGCCGGGCCTTCCTGGCCGCTGGCTAGAAAGCAAGCGGCAACTTCCGCGGAGGCCCCTGCCCGGGCGACTCACCTGACAAGGGAGCCTGGAAGCGGGGATCCACCAGGGACACCGGGCGCGGGTGGCGGAAGATCGAGCCGCTGCCTTGCCGGCCGTCGGCCGGGTGAGGGGCTCGGCTTTTTTTTCCTCCCCGCCCGGGACATGCATGTTCAGGCGTGCACCTTGCCGGCACCGGCGCCGGCGCCGCCGGGGGAGGCGCGCGCAAACATACATGCACACAGGCACACATGCCCTCTCACACGTTCGGCTCCCAAGGCTTTTGGCATGGGTCGGCGGGGGCGGGGCCCCCCCATTTTGCACGGCCCAAAGCTACCGAGGCAATGCGGGGCTGGGTCTCCGCCACAAGTGCCAACGCCCAGCGAGGGAAGGCCTCAGCCCGCGCCAAGCGTCCAGGGGCCGGGTGGGAAGGAGGCCGAGGCTAGAGGGGGGAGCTGCCCCCGGCCTTGGTGGGCCCGGTGGCGCATGCGTGTGCACGCGCCACACCACGAGCAGGTTTTTTTTTGGGGGGGGGGGGGGGGCGGGGGGGGCGGGGGGCGGGGGGGGGGGGGGCCGGGGGCGCCGGTCGCGCGATCCACATCACTTTGGCTTGGGCGCGCCAACGGCACGATCTCCACCCCTGGCAACAAATGCCCGACCTTCCTCCCCGCCATGGGCCAGATCCCGAGGTCCCACCCTCGCCCTGCTCCAGGTGAGGTGCCACTTTGGCCTGTGCCCTGTGTGGACGGGGACTCGCCACGGCGAGGCTTCCTCCGCCGGGCCTGCTCGCCCCCTCGCCCCTGTCGGCCCTGTGCGCGGCCTCCTCGGCGCTTCCCTACGCCTGACCAGCCACATCACGAAGCAGGACTCAGCTTGTGCTTTCTATAGTTGGGGATATGTGTGTGTGTGTGTGTGTGTGTGTGTGTGTGTGTGTGCGTGTGTGTGTGTGTGTGTACACGCGCGCATGGAGGTGTGTGGATGGTGGCGTTTGTCGCCGTGGCCCGAGGGGAAAGGATGCCCGAGACATGTGCCTTCTATCTTAGGGTTGGGGGCTGGTGCTCGAGCTGGCTGTCAAGCGGTGCTCTTCGGGGTCCTCCTCTTCCGGCCAGCCGGAGATGATGCTCAGGGCCGCCGTGCTAACCAGCAGACCGACGGTCAGGGCCACCCCCAGTGAGGAGAAGCCCTCACTGGCGGCCGGGACGCCCGGCCTGTAGGCCCGGACGGCCGCATCGGTGGCAGTCTGGCCACCTGCTGCAGGGCAGTTTGCTGTCACCGCTGCCGCCGCCACCGCCGCGGCGTTAATGTGGGTGGCCACTGTGCGCGCGGCGCCGGCCACCGCGGCCCCCGGATCTCGCACGACGGTGGCCAGCCCGGCGCCCAGCAGAGCCCCAGCCGTGGCCACCATGGAAACACAGTCGCCCGCCGTCAAGCCGGCCATCTGGGCCAGCATGCCGGACCCCACCGTGGGCAAGCCCCCGGGGCATGATGGGCCGCTGGCCGCGCCGCCGAGAAGCCCGCTCGAGCCGGCCGCTGGGGCCAGGCCGACGGGGGAGGGTGATGGCACGGCAGCCGCGGCGGCGGTGCTCCCAGCCGAGGCGGCGGCCACCGCTGTTCCGGCCAGGAAGCCCCAGTAGACTGACGCGAGGGCCGTGCCAGCATGGCCCTGGCGCAGACCCGCGCGCAAACGTCGGCGCACCCGGCACACTTCCTCCCCCAGCCGCCGGGTGTGCCGGCGAGCGTGTCGGACAAGCGCACGCGCCACACGCTCGGAATCCAAAAACACCCGCAAGCATGCGCCATCTACGTAGATTTGCAATTCCACTCGCGGCGGAATCAGCCAGGCCCGGCCGCTGGCCAGGCCCTTTCCAAAGAGCACACGCAGGCGGTCACCAGCTCGACGGCACAAGGCCGCGGTGCCGGGCCATTCTACCAGTTCGCCAGGCGGTTGCTCGCCAGGGTCGGGCCCTTCCGGCAACAAGCCGGCCTGCCGGTCCCCATCGGCCCGGGGCACCCGCCCATCGGACATGTCCCCCTGGTCGGGAGCATGTCCGGTGTCAATGCGCACCTCGCTCAGCCAGCGGCCCACACCGCGCAGAGCGGTCCCCGCGGCAACCGACAGGATGGCCAGCCCCTCGGCCGAGGACTCGATCCAGTGCTCGGCCCGTGGCGGCCGCTCGCCCGGAGACCGGCGCTGATCGGCCACCAGCAAGGAAAGCCCCCCCGACAGGAGACGCTTACCGCGCGAGAGCCAGCCGCCGCGCGGGTCAGCCCGGTCGTCGGGCCGGGCAGCCGAGCCTCCGACCTCCGGGCTCGGGGGGCCAATTGGTAGGGCCGCCCGGCCATGGGTCTCATGCCGGTCGGTGTCCCTGGCGAACGGGGCGAAGCTCAAGCTGGCAAGGAGCTCGGCCAGATCGCCTGGCGCGAAGGCCAGCAACCCGGCGGGGCCAGAGACGCGGAAAGGCAGATCGGACAGACAGGTGAGCGGCGGCAAGCAGAGACACGGGTGTTCGGAAGAGATATGCCCTTCATGCCCCACAATCACCGGCATCCCAGGCGCACCCGACTGGCAGTCAATGCCCAGGACCGGTGACTGATTGGCATGGCGGGCCATCAGGGCATGTGCCCGGGTGTCCTCCTCGCACGGCAGGATGACACTGACAAAAACATCCTGCGGGCTGCCGGGCCGCGGGAAGTCGCCGTAATCGGTGCCCGGCTCGACCCAGCTGCCCCAGTGCGGGGAATCCGCCGTGCCCCAGTCCATGGCGGGCAAGGTGTCCGACGCGTCGGTGTCCTCCTCGAGCGTGATGTCTGAGGGTGCAAAGGGGGGCGGGGGCGGGGGGCGAAGATCGTGCGGCACGCGTGCGCGTGTGAAGGTGGTTAGACATCCAGATCGCGCGTGTTCATGTGCTTCTCACAGGGGGGCGCCCCCCTCTCTTAGGCAGTGCCGGGCGCTCGCGCCAGCCAGTGGGCCAGCGTGGGAGCCGGCGGATCGGCCGCCGGGCGGGCGTGTCTCGGCCTGGCAGGAGACAAAGACAGGGACTGATGGCGCCGAAAGGGGAAAAGAAACATTTGTGTGGACGAAGCGGTGAGGGAGGATGAGGCGCGCGTCAGTGAAAAGGGCCTGGAGGTGGAGCGCGTCCATCCTCTGACACACGCGCGCACACACCCAGCCAACCAACCGGCCAGCCGGTTGCTGTCGGTCTCGACAGCCGCAGTCATGTCTATGACCCTCCTCTCTCTCTCTCTCTCTCTCACTCGCTCGCTCGCTCGCGCACGCGCGCATGTGTCCATGCTCGAGGTCAAGCAGTTGGTCGAGACACACGCATCGCTCGTGTTTTTGAGGTCTGCTCCCCCCCCCCCCCCTTCCCCCTTTTGCCGTTTCCCCCACTGACAGGATGGTGTCAAGACCAAAAGAAAGAAGGAATACAGAAACCTACCACAGACATATGCTTTGCCCCAGGGGATGGCATGGGCACCGGCTCCACTGTGTACACAGCGGGCGTCTGGAGGGCACAGATGGCAAGACAAGGGCCGGCATATGCACACATCCGCACACATTCGCCCAAAAAAGGCCCGGCCGACAAACAGGAGACAGACAACAACAGTCACAGAAAGACAGACAGAAAGACAGACAGGCACATTGAAATGGACACACACACACACACGCAGGGGGAGGGCGCCCGAAAAATGGAAGTATGAACAGAATGCAGGGGTGGCAGGGGTGTACAAAGGCTGTCAGTCTATTCGGGAGCTGGCTGGGCGGGTCGCAAGGAGAAAGTGGGAAGAGGAGATGTCCAGGCTGGCGGATACAGCCTCCTCGGCCGCCCCCGCCACCGCCCCCGCGCCCAGTTCCCCCATGGGGGAGAGGGGGGGGGGATGCCGGGTCTGTGTGCGGGGACAGGGGAGAATATGGCCGAGAGGAGGAGAAACAGGGAGCGGGAACAAGGGGGATGCGGGCAGAGGAGAAGGAGAACGGAGGGAGGGAGGCCGGGAGAAAGGCGGACAACCCATGCGAGGGGGATACGCCCCCCCCCCCCGCAAGGGCTTTTGTAGCCCGTCCTCCTCTTCGCCCACCTGGTGCTCTCTCGCCTCCCCGGGGAGGAGGGGCAGCACAGGGAGAGGTGCATAGGCACGCGCAGGGGAGGGCGGGGGCTGCGGATGGGCATGGGAGGCTGGAAAGGGGAGAGGGGGGAGTGGGGGAGGGGATGGTGTGGCCGTACATCCTCATTCTGTGTCCCTCTTTTTGTCTCGCTCCTTTGTGCTCGCCCATATATCCTTGGCCGCTGTCCGCGCCGCCCGATCGGTGCGTATCCCCCCCCCCCCCCCCGCCCTGTACCGGGGGGGGGGGGACATGCACACGATGTGGGCGGGAGGCGGACGAGTGGATGGATACAAAGGGGGGAGCGTGCCGCCCGGACCGGAGGGAGAGAGGGAGAGCCCCACCTCAATCGGCCCCGGTGGTGGTGGCCGATGGCTGGGGAGTTGCCGGAGCCGGGGCCGGGGCACGCCGGGCCTCGGCCAGAGGACGGCGCTGCTCCGCCGCGGCATAGGACGCAGTGACTGCGGCCGCAGCCACGGCGGCCATAGCCACCGGCACCGAGTCCGGCTCGGCCGCCCCCCCGGGGGGGCGATCCCCGCGCCCGGGCGCCATCGCGGTGGCCCCGGCCGCAGCCGTCACCGGTCGGCCACCACCACCACCACCACCACCACCACCGGCTGACTGCTGCCCGGGTGGTACGGTCCCGGCCGCATTGGATGCCAGCCACGGCAGGGCCGAAAAGGTCCGTCTCGAGGAGGGGGTATACCCGGCTGAAAGCATCACCGGGTTTCCGAAGGCATTGGAAAAGCCGAACGTACTGAAGTCCCGCCGGTAGGGAAGCGCATTCATGGTCTGCATCCAGGGCAGCGCCGCGCCCGGGGTGCCGGCACCGGTGCCAGCACCTGGGGGGTTGCTGGCCGCGCCACCGACATTGCCGCTGCTGGAGCCGGCAGCAGTAGCAGCAGCGGCGGCAGCCGCGGCCGCGGCCGCGGCCGCGGCAGCTGCAGCCCCGGGCGAATGTGAAGGGGAGATGGGCGGCGCGGCGCCGGCCTGCACCGCTTGCCAGTAGAGGACGCTCCCGGGCCGGTGGCGGTCCTGGCCGGCGACCGGCGAGCCACTCGCCGCATGCAGGGCAGCCGAACTGTTGCGCAGGGCTTGCGTGATGCGATCCAACGTCGAGAGGGCGCCCCCGCCTCCGCCGCCACTGCCGCCGTTGCTGTTGCTGTTGCTACCGGCGCCGGTGCCGGTGCCGGGTGCCGGCGAAGCCGAAGAGGGGGACGACATGACGGATGGGGTGCTGGCGGCGGCGGCCGCCGCCACGGCGGCCGCCGTGAACACCCCCCCGAAGCCGCTGATGCCGGGGCCAAGGGCCGGGCTGGCCCCGGCCGTCGGGCACGCCCCCCCGGCGGTGGCCACCGTCGGCGTCCCAGACCGGAGCATGTCCGACACGGTGATCCGCGGCGAGGCCACAGCCGACGCCGGGGCCGATGCCGATGAGGCGCCCGGGCCGGCGGTCGGCAACGGGCAAGCCCCGGCTGCCGAGGGCGGCGTCCAGCTGCCAGCACCCGGCGCCCCGCCGGCCCCGGAGCCACGCGGCTGGTAACCGGCCATGAAGCCGGCGGCCGCCATGACGGAGAAGCTGTCGCCCGGACGCGGGGCACTACGCACACGGCCGGACTCCAGCCCCGGGGCCTCGGAGCGCTTCTTGGTCCCGGGCAGGACAATGGTGCCGGAGGACGGCGGCCCCCCCGGGGTCAAGCGAAGCCGGCGCTTGGGGGCCGAGCCAATGCCATTGCCCCCGGCGGCCCCCGGGGGATTGCCACCGGGGATGGACGAAGCGCCACCAGCCCCGGAGCCGGCGCCCGTGGCAGGAGCCAATTCGGCCGCGCCGCTGGCCGGCAGCAATGGCGACAGGGAGCCGCCACCAGGGCGCGCGCCCGGGCCGCCGGCAATCTGCTGCTGAGAGGCCCCACCGGCGCCGCTGCCGGCCGGCCCGAGAGACATGGCCAGGGGCGGCCGGCCGCCAGGCACCGCCCCCGACCCCGGAGGCGACTCCGGATCCTCCACGATGTAGTACAGCCGCGAGGACCAGCCCGAGGGGGAAGGGGCCCAGGACATGGAGCCACTGGGCCCGGGGCCGGTGGCCGCGACGCCCCGGTGGTGCCGGTGCCCCGGGGGCTCGGCCAGACCACCAGCCCCGGAGCCCGGCCCATTGGCCGTGCCGCTGCCCAGGAGGCGCGCATCGTGCAGCGCGTCCCAGGACCGGGAGCGCCGCATGCCACCCCCGGCCGAAGAGCCCCGGCCGCCCGGAGACGAGCCGATCTTCGACACATGGCCCAGGCCATCGGCGTCACCCTGCGGCCGGACCCCGACGAACCAATACTCGCCGCCGGCACCGCCGCCGGAGGAACCACCGGCATCGATGGCCAGGTGCAGGGGCGAGGTATTGTAGGACGAGCAGAAGGACTGGCTGTCCGGGGTCATGGGCGGCGGCAGCGAATAGAAGGGCGACACCGGTGACGCGGCCGGGGTCATGGGCTCCGGGCTGGATCCGAGCGCCGACTCGGCGCTGGTCACCGGCCAGAAGGGCGATCCCGGGGACGCCGGCGATGCCGGGGGCGACCCCGGCGGCGAGGGCGATGCCGGCCGACCGACCGCACCTGCACCGGAGGTACCATTGCCGCCGTCGGCGCCGGTGCCAGCGCCAACGCCCTCCACCACCACGACGGCAGCGGCGGCGGCGGCGGCCGCCCCCCCGGCAAGACTATCTTGGGAGCCGGCACTGGCCGAGGCGCTCCCATCGGCCAGGGCCCCGGCGGAGAGATCCGGCGACAAGGGCGACTGGGCCGCTGGGCCCGAGCCCGGGGCCGAGGTCGACACCGGCAGTGTGGCCACGCTTGGCGGGTCGGCCTCGTCCACCGGGGCCGAGCCCGCGCCCGGGGCCGAATCCACGGCCAGGCGTGTCGGGCTGCCAGCCGCCGGCGAGTCCAGCATCACGGCGGGGGGATCCGCCCCTTCGTCCATCGGGGTGATCGGCTGCGAATCGAAGCCCGACAGGTCGAGGCCCAGGGTGCCCGAGGGGCCGGCCGTGCCGGAGAGCCCGTTGCCCCCCACGCCGGGGAAGGCGGTGCGCAGGCCCAGGGCCGGGGTGCTGGCCGCCACAGCCTCATGCAGGAGGAGGGCCGCCTCGGCGACAGGCCCGCCCTCCGGCGGCGAATGGGTCCCCGGCGAGGCGGCGCTCGAGGCATTGAGCGACGAGGCCAGCGAATGCACGAGGATCCATGCCGTAGAAGCCGGGGTGCTGGCCGACTGGCTGGACCCCGGGCCCGAGGACAGGACCGACACCGAGGCCATCAGGCAGGCGCCGCACATTTGCTGGGCCGAGGTGGCCGCCGGGTTGCGCGCACAGCGCGGGTGCTCGCAAGGTGAATCGGCCGAGCCGCCGGCAGCCGCGGCAGCGGCCGCCGCCATCACGGCCGCTGAGTGATTGGGTGCCAGCTCGTGGCCCAGGGCCGCGGCGACCGCCTGGCGATGCTCATGCTGCTGCTGCAGCAGGGCCAGCTGCTGCTGTTGCTGGCGATGGAAGGCCGACCGAGCAGCCCCGGCGCCCACCGACGGGGTCCCGGTGTCGGAGGCCGAGCCACTGGCCTCGGCCGAGGAGGACAGATCCATCAGGAACTCCAGCGCATGGTATTGCATGGAATTCAGCGGGTGGTAGCGGAGCTGCGGGTGCGAGTGGTGGTGCGCCAGCGGCGGATCCGGGTCCTCCTGCGTCAGGACGGCCTTGTGGTTGGACCCGGACCCGATGATCATGTAGCCGGTCCGCGAGCCGGGGGTCCGCGAGCCGCCAGCCATGTGTTGCTGCTGCTGCTGCTGCTGCTGCTGCTGCGGCTGTTGGTGATGGTGGTGGTGGAGGTGGTGGTGGTGGTGGTGGGCAGCGTGGTGACCACTTGTCCCCGAGGAGCCGGGCCTGAGCTCGCCACTGGCCGAAGCGCTGCAGGTGGTCCCGTGCCCGGACCCCGGCGAGGCCGGGCACGAGGAGGACATCAGCAGGTGCGGCGATGCACAGCCAGAGCCCCGCTGAGAGGACCCGAGAGAGGCAATCAGCGAAAAGGGCGAGGGCGAGCATGCGCGCGACCCGGCGGAGGAGGCAAGCGCCGACCCGGGCCCACTGGTCCGGCTGTCCCCCGGGTGGGGATGGTAGTAGTGGGGGTGGGGTGCCTGGGGCCCGGGTTGCGGGGCGATCATCACCACCTGCGGGCCGCCAGTGTGGGCCGGCGCCAGGGTCTGTGGCTGCTGCTGCTGCTGCTGCTGCTGCTGCTGCTGCTGCTGCTGTTGCTGTTGTGTCGAGGCATGATGTTGCAGAGGTCGCGTGTGGTGGGCCAGGCCCGGGCCGAGGGGCGAGCGGAAGGGAGCGAACTTGGCTGCCCCAGTGTCGGACGGAGCCGTTCCGGTGCTAAGACCGGCCTGGTGGCCGTAGTACTGGTCGACGTTGACGGCCGGCAGGTTGCGCAGGGTGGCGGCCACGGCATTGCCATCGGACAGCTGGCGCTCCTCGAGGGACAGATCGCCGGCGAGGCCGAATTCCGGGACACCGGGCTCCGACAGAGGATCCCCCAAGTGGTGCAGGGCCAGCTTCAGTGCGGCCGGCGAGGGTGGGGATCCTTGTCGCATTGGAGCACGGCCAGGCTCGGCCTCGTCGTGAACCATGGCGTCTTGGGTCATGCTGGCGGGGGACGACGAAGGGTGCGTGGTGTGTGTGTGTGTGTGTGTGTGTGTGTGCGCGCGAAGAACAGAGCCCGAGCGCTTTGCCACGAGCAGATGGCGCCGAGGAAGCCCGGGAGCGTGAGTGGCGTTAGTCAGACGTGTGGGCGGGCACAAGGACGCGGGCAAGGGCACATCGAATGGCCAGACGCGGGAAATCGCAGATCCAGCGCGGACGCGTACCAGAGTGTGAGGCTCAGAGCTCGAGACGAACAGGAGGTCGAGCGACGGGAGGGGAGCCGGCCTGGAAAGCCCAGTAACAAGTGGGGGAGGAAGGGACGCGGGGGTGCAGGGCAGCACCGTAAGTGGAGGGTGTAATTGCGAGGGAAGGCGTGTCTCTGTGGCCGAGTGGGCCAGGAGGGTGAGGGGGTGGATCTTGGGACCTACCTCACAGAGGGGATGGCAAACGGTCTCCGCGGAGAACCCGGACGGAATGAGAGGCTGGAGGCGGGAAGTCGAGGCAGGAGGACCGCGCCTCTCGGGGAAGGAGAGGGACCCTGGTGGAGGATGCGGGTGGGGGAGGGAAAGAGAGAAGCGCAAAGAGGGGAGAAGGAGAGGGAGAGAGGGGAAGAGAAGAGAAGGGCACGGGCGGAAGGATGCGTGGAAGAAGGGGGGAGATCGGGGGTGATGGGCTGGCTGGCGTCCGGATGGGCCGAATGGCAGCCTGTTTTCAATGGCCCGCATCCTCCTCCTGTCCCTGCCTTCCACTCGGCGAGGAGGCCGGAAGGGGATGGGGCGGATGGGGCGGGGGGGGGGGGGGGGGGGGGGGGGGGAAAAACACTGCACACCAAGCCGGACAAGCGGGCCCCGGGTGCCAGATGGCGCCGGGGCCGGGTGGGTGGCGATGTGCCCCATGCCCCGATCGAGTCTCGCCCCGTCCCATCATCCTTGCCCATCGTTCCGGCTGCACCGCCTCCTCGTCCCCGGGGGGGGGGGGGGGGGGGGGGGGGCCCCCCGCCCCCCCCGCCGATGCGTCCGCGCGGACGCGCTCCCACAGGGGGCCGCTTCTTAAGTGTGATCGATAAAGAACGTCGGTCAAACGCCGGATCGGCGGCAGGCTCGATGTGCCGCGGCCCCCGGCCCCGGCGCTTCGCCTCTATCCTTCGCCCGCTGGGGGCCGCCCACTCCGGGCCCGCTCTCGTGTGACTGCCCGCCCCGCCCCCTGGAGCCCCGGACCCAGGGGGGAGGGGGGGCGGGGGGCGGGGGGACCGACACGGCCCGACCCCCGGAAGGATGTCCGATGGGCTTCTCGGCCATGGTGCCAAAGAGAACGACGGACCAGGGGCGGGGGGGGGGGGGCGAGGGAGATAGCGCCCGCCTTCCCGTCGGGTGCCTCTGCCGAGATCGCCCCCTGGCCTCTCGTCTTGGCCTCCGGGCTGCGACGGCGGGCGCGAGCGCGCCACTGCCTGGCCGGGGATAGCCCCTTGCGCCATTTTGCCCCGCGCGATCGCTCGCAGGGGCCCCGCCGGTGGCTGACCCGAGCCAGGTTCCCCGATCGGGGGCGGGGGAGTGGCCGCGGTGGCGGGGTATCTCACACCGGCCGAGAAGGCCGCCCGCCGGCCGAGGGCGAGTGCACCGGCGCGCGTCAACCGGCGCCGCCAGATAACCGGGTAACCGCGATCGCCGGTGGGTCACCCGCTTTCTAATCTCGGAATCTATTACATCCGCGTCCTGTCTCTTGTTCTTCGTCCCCAGGCTCCGCGCGCCGCTCGAATGGGAGGTCTCAGCCAGGGGGCTGGGGGGAGAAATGCAACCGGCTTGCCGGATGGAGCCGGGGGTACCGGGGCAGGCCGGCCTGCAACCGGCCAACGGCAGCAAGTGGATCGCGCCGCTGTTCCGACTGAAATGGAGAATAACAATAAAAAGAAAACACCAGGCGCTCGGTTCCGGGTCCCATGCCCGCCGCGGGGGTAAGGGGCTGGCCGAGGCGCACCGGCCGCCGTGGTCGCGCCCCACGATTAGGAATCGAAGAGGGGGCGAGCGATGGGGCGTCAGCGTTCCCACAGGGCGGCATCTTGAGACGGCCAAGCGTTGGCCAGTTCCCCCCCCCCCCCCCCCCCGCTCCCCAGACGCCGGGCGTCGGCGGTTGGCATTCCACGTCGCGGACGCGCCCCGCCGGGATGCGCAGCCCCACTTGAGCCCCCGCGGACGCCGGACGCTTGGTCGAAAATTACGTGGCTCTCGCGCGTCCCGTCTTCCCGTACGCCCCAACCCCGCTGGCCGGGAGAAGAGTCGAGCTGATGTCGGACACGGGCGGACCGCCCCCGACAGGCGCCTGGCTCCGCCCCCGCCCCCCCCCCCCCCCCC